TTCATACTTTGTTTCTGTAGTTTTGGACTCTCTTTCTGTGCTAAGAGTTAAATTTTTAATAGCCCATTTACAGTTGTTACTAAGAAAAACAAATCAAATTACTGAATTGGTGAGTAATACCAGCAGTCTCGCAGCATTCCAGTTGGAGTGGTAGATCTTTACAGCATGGAAAAGAATGTTGTCTGGATGGATTTTTGGCATTCAGGGGCTTTTTGTAACTGGCAGTTGTTGAGGAAATGAGCTCAAGGACATCACACGACTTCAGAAACTTTTAAAAAGATTCACAAGTTTTAGGTGTAGGTTTTCTATTTCAGGAGAAAGCCTCTATAGATGGTAGAATGTTCTCCAAATCCAGTGCCATTTCTTTTAATGCTTGATGTGACATTTTCTGAAGCAAAAAGGAGCTGTACATTTAGAGAACAAATTAGTGACTTCTAGTCAAAAGGGCTGTAGGAATAAGTGTTGTTTTTTTGAATACTAGAATACCTAGAAGAAGAGTCTCGAACACTTTACTAGTAACTGTCACTTCTGGAAGAGGCACTGTGTATTTATAGTTTATCTGGCTTAAGATGGTACAAAAACGTTATATTATTCTTAAAATGTAACAACAAAAACTTCTGTAGTTCAGAATGTACATGATAGATGCATACACAGTAATATAACGATAAAATGGCTTGCTTAACAAGTTGTATGTATGTAGTCAACTTGAGGTTTTTATTTTTAATTAACCGGAAAACACTTCTCCATGCAGGGAAGCTGAATTGCCAATAGTGAGAGAGAAACGCAACTGTCTCTGTGATCTCATGAAAGTGCCCAAACCGCAGCTGGTATCCAAGGTACGGAAATGTTCTCCCGAGGGTTTCTTTTAAAGAAACATAGTAATGATCAGTTGTTCCAGCAAATCTCCTGTGTGCTCCTGTGCAGCAGATGCAGTTCTTCACTGGTTCAGGAATACATTGCTGTGCAGCAGGAGGAACGTCCTCACAGCTTGCCGCAGAGCACGTGGCATTGCTGAGGACTCTTGTCTTAAGCCCTTCCAGTCTCATTTTTGAAAACATTCCAGACTTGTAGTGTGACATCTCACTCAGACAAGATGCAAGAATGAAGTAATACACTACAGATGTTTCAGAAACCACTCCTCTCCCCTTTCTGGGGAAAGAAAAAGGTTAAAAACTTCCCAATTTCAACAGCAAAATCATAACTGAGAGGTTGTGCAAGCCACAGAATCCTAACAGTGCCAAGAGGAAAAATATATTCTCTTAGTTACTATGTTCATAAGAAGACAGCCAATATACCCATGTGTAGGTCCCGTTTCATTTTAGTGCAGATACTCTGGAATCTCCCATATGCTCAGTATTTGAGAAATACAGAATTTTCTGCTTTGGTAAGAGTTTGAGAGGTTCCTTTCCTCTCTGTCCAAAGATGAGGAGGCTGAATTATTACTGGTTTAGAGAACATGTGTTAACATGACAATTTACAAAGAAAGATTATGTTTACTTTGAGTAATACAAGTCATGGTGAAGATGCTTGGTGACCCAAGGCTACTATATCTATTTCATAAACTGATCCAGCTTAAAAATAGTGCTATATCAATTTATTCTTGGCCTTTGCAATTTTGATTGTTCTGCTTTCATAGCACGAGAAAGTTTTGTCCTTTGTAATTATTTTCGACTTTAGAAACATCACCCATGCAGTCTTCTTTCCTGAGTTTTTCCTAATAGGGTTAATTCCCTTCATTTTCTAATAAAAATATTTGAATAGTAGTTTATTTTCACTACTAGACTTACACAAAGTGTAATTCTGTTGCCCTGCACAGTTCCATGTCAGAGCTGCAGTAGCCTTTGCCACAGCTGCAGCATCTGTGGCTCAAAGTCACCAAGACTTCTCCCCCAGAGCATCCAAAGGTGATCTTAGCTAATGGCGTTTTTAAAGTGCTTGCTGAACTGGCTCTTTGTAATACATTATGTTACTTAAGTCTTTGAGGTCAGCCAGTTCTTCTTGTGTAATATTCTCATAATCCTTTACACTCAAGATGCTTCTTTGTGTAAGTAGATCCTATCTTTTGAGTTGTTATTGATATAAAAATATATATGTGTTTTAAAAATCAGTCAAAGGACTAATACTTAAGACATTTATGAATAACATTCGAAGACATCCTGCTGACCCCTAGCAGTTTCTGTACTTATCTTCCAGCTTTACTGTCATGTCTACAGTTTTCTGCTTTTCGTACACTTTTAAGAAACCTCTAACATTTTTGTAATTTTGGAAAACAAGACTCTGAACCTTCTTGCCCATACAAGGAATTGTTTTAAGAGCAAAACCTGACCTGAGCATTGCTGTTTCAAGGTTTTCTACTCAACTAATAGTAATGTTATGTTCACAGTGAAGATGTTACAAGATGAACTCACTGATCTCAAAAAAACGTATTTTAACTCCTTAATTATTGGAGGCTGAGAGAAACCTGACAAGTTAGGAGAAAACTGTCTCTGATTCAACAAAATAATAAGAAATAACCAAGTACACATATTGGTATTTCAGAGGGGACTGTTACAAACAGTATCATGTGCAATCTGGAAGTTATGTGGCTGAATTTGGAACTTTACGTTTTCCTCCTCTTTTAACATAAGCAAATAGTAAATGTTTAGCAAAACAAAGTTAAGCCTCTGCCCTGAGAGCTGTTGGAGTTCACTCTGGGAGTGATACTGAGAGGAAAGGACTTTTCACAGCTGCCCAGATACCCCTCATAGCAGCCAGTTTGTGCTCACACCAGAGTGCCCAACACTCTTCAAGAGCTTACATATCCTGAGAAATGGAGAAATAATAGAGGAAGCCAAGCATAACATTATCAAAAGGTGAAAGAAGTTAATTTCATATCAGATCTACACTTATAACTCCTTTAAAACTTGTACAAATAAAGCATGTTAAAGGGCAGTTAAAAATTTAAGTTGTTGAAAAGGACTGTAAATATGTATGTCTGCATTTTCTTCTCAGTTTAGTTTACTCAATTACATGATTGGGATACTGTTAAAGTAGTGATACATGCTAGTCCATGTAACCTCTTTTCTTTCTCTCTTGCAGAGTTCAGCATAATGAAGTGGCAGGCAGAGGCGGCTGGTTTGTAAACTGAAGCTCTTGGTTCGGGTGCCACTTGGACTGGAAGGTTTTGTGCTGCGGCATCCGGGCAACCTGGAGTCTCAGCAGGAGCTGCAAAGTGCGCTGTTTAACAGAACGAGAGGCAGAGATTGTGTCTTAAAGCATTGTGCCGATATGCCACAGGAAGGCAACAAAGGTTCATTATGTTCTCAGTTTTTGAAGTCATTATCTGTAGCCACAAGATGGCAGTTTCTCGTCCTCCAACTGACCTGGGTTTTTTTGATGTCAATGATTTATACTTCTGCAACTCTGAATGGAGCCATTCAGCCTGGGCTTGCTGTACACACACGAAATATTAAACGTGACTTGCTGCATTAGTGTCTTAAAACAATTTTTTTTCAGAGGTAAGACTGGCGACGTTCAGTGATTATGAAACGTTCCTAAACATAAAGTGTCTCTGTGGCCAAGTTTGTCTTTCTTATGTCACAGCCCAACAAAAAAAAATCCACGTTTCACTTCAGCTGAAGTCAGAGCCTCTGTTCATAGCTTTTTATGTAACTAATTCAAGCAAATGTTTTTGTGGTAAACTAGCATTAGGGACTGAAGCTTTATTTCTTCCCTTCTGGAACAGAGGTGAATCAGTACGTCAAGCAACTGCTATGAATTTAGACCATTTCAGGAAATGGTGGTAACATTAATCTTTAGGAAAACTAACATGATGGGGAGGACAGATGCACAGACAACATGATATTCTACTTACACTGTGTTATTTGATGGTTCTGATTAAATCCCACTATCCCAGCACTTCAAGCAGAACAGTGGTGCTGTGTGTGTGTGTGTGTGTGTGTGTGTGTGTGTGTGTGTGTGTGTATAGATACATACACACACATCTATGAAAGCTTGAAAGGAAGGAAAAAATCAGGCAGAGGAGCTAAAAACAAACTGGTTTCTCTGTAAAGTACCTGCTACAAACTGCAGCAGTCTTCTACTGCAGGTGTTCATGTCCAGAGCTATCACCTGTCTCGCTCTCTGTTTTTAAAAAAACATCTGTTACTTCAGTACTTCTTAGGTATACTTGGAACATGGACTGGTAGCTGAAATTCAGTGTTATTCACTGACTATAAACAAACAGTCCTCAATGTACATACCGTGCAACAGACCCAGTTGGCCACTTGGCTGCATGCACCACAAGGGCTGCTTGCAGGTATTCCTGCAGAAGAAATACACCTGAACCCACAGCCTGCGCTGTTACACTGTCATAAATGGTTACTACATCCTCAAAAGATCTTGGTTTTGTGAAGTTATACCTATAGGCCTGATGATTTGAAAAAAACAAAACAAAACAAAAACCCAAGTGAGAAGGTCCATTGAAAATTGAGAGCATCTGTACCTGGGATCACCTGGCTGCCAAATGGTGTTGCAGACCCAGCTCTACTTTTCACACAGCCCCGCATCTCGTCCTGGTCCTGTGCAGAGCTCCACTGCAGCACACAGCAGCAGCTGCTCCCAGGAGCAGGAAAGGAGCCCCTCCCAGGGAAGGGTTGAAGGCCCCAAGCAGCATTTGACAGAAACCTCTCTTCACGTGTCCAGTGCTTCTAGGCTGGGCTTGGTGCATTTTTAAAGCTTCGCTATGGGAACAGTCCTCTTATAATGTTATAGCCCATATTTGGTGGTTACTGAAGTTAGAAATACAATTTAACAATCAAACTGAGTTTGGTAAGCAAGTGATGAGCAATAGCAAGATGAGCAAATAGCATTATCTGTGGTGTAACTAGGACCTCCCTTAGAAAGGGGTTAGTCAGCACAAAGATCAATTTAATGAAGTACAAATTACCAAAAAATTCTGAGTCTTTGTCTTCCTACACAGAGGATAACACAGTGTCAATGTCACTGCCTTACCTTGGTTTTCAGTTGAAATGGTAATAATCCATCCCTTCCTTCAAGTTCAGCATGCTCAGGTTTGTTTCAAATGCTCCACCTGTCAAATCCTGTGAGGTAAGAAACAGAATTAGATCAAGCAGACAAACTCATTTCAGGCTGGAACAGGGTTTGATAATTTGGTGCTTTAGACCACAGAAGAAAGTCCCGTTTGCAGAACTAAACATAAATAAACCAAGGCTCAGAAATGTTTCCATTCAAAAAATCATGTGTCTGTTGAGAAATTAGTGTTCAAATTAAAGTCTGGAGGGGGAGGTGGAGGGGTTATTGGACAAGTCATTCTCTCAAATAATCAAAGCTGCAGATTTTGTTTTCTAACACAGGCATTTTTAGAGAATCGACTAAGGGAATAAGTAAGTTTGACAAAATAGTGATTTTTGTAGATATTGAACAATTATTAACTTCCCTGACGAAACAAACCTTTCATCAAGCAACTGACATATTTTGCATAGTTAAAGGTGTTTCCTTTGAGCCGTGGTTACGTTATGTGAACAGGAACCTGACAGGTTTCCTTCATGAGCGATCTTGCAAGGCAGTGATGTCATTAAGAAAACTTGCCCACTCCAGCGTTTCTGAGCATTTCTGCTTTGGTCTTCCTGGAGTCCTTAATTCTGGTGATCTTCAGGAATGTCACAAAAAAAGAAAATAAATAAAGCTGGCAGTGCTGCAGGAGGCAGGCAAAGAGATTGCTGGTGCTCTTTTGGTTGGCCCAGTGCAGCACTACTGCAGTGTTAACAACACACACCGCTGCCACAGGTGTTTAGGACAGGAAGTTACAGACAGAGTCCAGCTGAAACTGGAAAGAAAGGAGGGAGAACGTGAGGCTTTGGCTAGAATAAACTAGATTCAAAAATTTGCTCTGGGATCTTTAATGAACCTGAGCTCAAACCTATGGTTTCTGTCTCACACAGAGGACTGCACATCCAGCTTCCCAGCTCGCCTTGGCCTCGTCAGCTGAAGCGCTCATAGGCACATTATGCCAGGAAGCCTTCTGGTCAAGGAGCACAACCGCCTCTATCAACAGGGAGTCCAGTAACACATCTGCTCCAAACCTTTCTATTGTTTCTGCTGCCTGAATGTACATAGGAAAGCAAACCTTGCATATGTAGGTTTCAGACCTCTTGCCCAAACCAGCATCTGTGCCTCGAGATCACAGCTTAAAGCCCCTTTCCCCTGTGGTGATTCTCAGCCACCTGCCATGTTCTTCAGTTTTCACTGGCAATCCCGAAAAATACAAAGACAACATCACCTCATCCAGAACTTCAACAAAAACCATAACCACCAGTCATAAAACTCATCATTGAGCTCTGATGTTTACTAACCATTAAAAAAAAAAAGAAATCGAAAAAAGAAATGAAATAATGTGGAAAAGGGCAGAAAAGCACCCATGGCATGGACTTTTTAAGGAAAGGCTCCACTTAACTAAGGTAACCAACTTCTTACCTGAGCGCTAAGAGCCTGATTGTGAAAGATGCTGAGTACTTTTTTTTTAACTTCTTGAAATCAAGAATACTTGATAATATTTAATACTTTGAAAGACTGGGTCCTAGTTTTGCAATTCAGTTAAGATCACCAACTGGTCCATCTGCAAAACTTACAACTTGCGTCAGCAGGGAATTCTACTCCGAAATGCAGGCCTTGATTACGACCTTTAGTCTCCACTAATGAGTTCATAAACCCAAGATTTCTCAAGTTACTGCATAGGGTATGAAACAAAGTTGCATTTAGCTTGCTGAAATATCAACCTGCTCTGAAGCAGGATGTAAAAAAAAAAATTATATATGTAGATACACACACACAAAAGAGCCCAGTTGCCAAATGAAGTGGGAGAGTTAAAAACAAATCTTTCATTCCCAAAGCACAAGTCTGAGGTGACAGAACAAGGCAGGATTTTACAGTAACTGCTCTAACAGTAAATTTACTGAAAACTTCATACAATCGAACTAGTTTAAGTACTGAGACAGAAAAATAAAAATCCCTTTCATTTCAAGCACTTGGAATCCATGCCAAAACAGGGCACAATACGTGATTTCTAAGCGTTTTGCTTTTACCTCAACGCAAGAGAAAATACAGAGTGCAAACCCTTAGCTGAAGTGGTCCTGCAGGCTGCCACACAACTCTGACGAGCTAAAGCCACGACTTTATTCCTCTCAGTAAAAACTTAAACTCGCACACATAGACACAGAGGGTGCAGAATTTCAGCTGCAGCCCTTTGTGAAGCCATTCTGAAATTCAAACTGAGCAAAGACCACATAGGATGACTGCTTTTTCAAAAATTATTTCATATAGTACCAAAGCACGTTAACGCTAGTGAGGGAGGAACTGCCTGAAAAAATAAATAAGCAAACACTGCTCCAAGTACATGGGCAGCAGAGTCGTTTCTTGCAAAGAACCCACTTAATAAACATATTTAATCTTCAAAATTACCCTCTTAGAGCTGTATATAAACATGCAGGTTTTGTCTGTATCAAAACTAAAAATAGTCCCCTATCACGAAGAGCAAAACAGAAGACAAATAAGGCCGCAAGGACACTTCCTTCTTCAGAAGGATGGCAATATGTTGGTAAATAATAAAGCTAAATTTGGAAGTCTGGGATGTTCAGGAATTTGACAATGACTTAAGAAATTAGCTAAGAGGATCTGCAGCTAATTCTGCCTTCCCTAAACTCCCAGCAGTTTCATGCAAGACGGAGCAAGGCAGTAGCTGTTGCACTGACAGCTGTCCACACAAGGAACATCCTTATGGTCACTGGGGGTTTCGTACGCTTGCTGGCTGCGTGACCTGAAACACCGAGCTGGGTAAAGCTACTTGCCCTAAATAGTTTGAAAATAGAGGGCATTTGTAACCTCTCAAACACAGGATTTATCTGCCCCCCCCCCAGTATGCACAAAGCACCTCTTCTGCAGAGAGATTTTATGTCTCAAATGTACTCCTTCACATCAGCCTGGGACTTGATTTTGTAACAGCAACATTTTTTTGCACCATTTGATTTGATACATCTGGGTAAATGGATCAGAGAGGCAGCAGTAGCTATCACGAAAAAGACAACATTTTTTCATTTGATGCCATCTTAATATTTGATGCACGCATCCCCTATCCTACTTTTTTCTTATGCTCTCACTTTAAAATAGCATGTTGGAAGGAGAAATGTAGAGAAGGCGATTAAAGAAAAGCAAGTGAGAAGTTTTGGTTTCGGTTGTTCTCTCAGATGTCGGCTGCAGAGCAGGCAAGGCAAACTCCAGCTATAAATACAGTTTCCAGTAGGTCAAACGGTATTTCCAAAGAAAACACTGCCTGTTACTTAAAAGATACTATGGCCTATAGTGTTCTGTGCCCCGCAAAATGCTCAGTGACCACGAGTGGAAAACACACTGAAATCACAACTGAAGTCATGGACTGGAGTTTTCAGGCAAGACGTTGTATAATAGTCTCATTGTAAGAGCTTCACAAATTAAATGTGCTTCGTAACAGGTTGCACAGATGTTTTGTCTAGGGACTTCCACCCACCATTATATGTCGTATGAAAAATTAAATTAGTTGCAATATTGCTAGCTTATCCAAGAGTTTATCAACCAACAGCACATGATAATGCCCTAAGGTACTTTCAGTCTGGCTTTACAACTCATAGCTATGATCTCAGAGTTGATCATAAAGTTGGGAGTGCTAAGTTAAAAGCGAACCAGACGAGATGAGATGAGGTTCAGGTAATCAATCTTTGAACGGATCACCTACAGCATTAAAATGTCAGTGTTTAAATATAGCTACAGGTTTTAGTTACTGTTAGAGACTTTTTTCACTAACATTTGCAACTAGACTGTATTTGCTATTTTGCTTTAGACTTCTCTTATCCCATATACTGTGCTTTGCTATTCTAAATGCAACAGCAAAACAACTGCTGATTATCATCTTCTAGTTATACTATCAGGTCAATTTAACTAGTTGAAAAATGGAAGTTACCACAGTCAGGCATGGGAGAGGCTTCAGAATTGGCAGTGCCAAACAAAATGACTTTTAATGTCTGATTTAAAAAAAAAACAAAGCCTTTACCATATATAGGGCTGCAAAATATTAGGAACAAATGAGGCCAGGCTGCATATCCTCATTTGTGTATATAATGTTATTGGGCAAGAAGGTAAAACAGGTCCAAGCTCCTTTACAGGAGCTGTACCTTTTATTATACGTAATGCTACTTTACTTAATACTGCTGTTTTAAATCCTTTTAATCCACTGCACAATCAATTTGGTAAAAAGACTGTTCAATTGCACAGTAAAAGCTCCTGAGTAAAACTATTTGCAGTAAATAGAAATTGATTTTCATAAGGAGCTAATACGGATTTTGCACATATAACTAAGGCTAAAGGTGGTACTCACCAGCTTCACGCAGATAATGAAAGGTGGAGTAGCATCTCTGAAGTGACATATAGGAATTTTTGGTTTTGGTCTCTTCTGCAGGAAAAAGCAGTAGAATTGAGTGAAGAGGCACACAGGGTTACTTGTTAGCTTAGTTTTAGGAGCTACTAAACACTAAAAGGGGAAAAAATTATCTTGAGACCTTCTGTTAAATAGTCCAGCTGGTCACACACTTCCACTCATTATTTTGCCATCATTTCAGGGACACAACTTTCTTACCATCATCTTTCAGCACAACTGTGTTTCTTTGCATGAAGTTCACACTACAGCAGATCTGCTGTTGAAAGGAGAAGGTCTCTCTCCTCTCCACTGCATCTTCCTTACCTCCAGCCTCTGTTTTTAGCTCTGTCCCAATGATTCCCTCTTTCATTTGATTGCAAGGTGTGCTGTTATAATAACCTACCCCATCAAAAATAGATTCTTTTGGTTTTTTTGGCAGGTTAATTTTCTGCCACTTGAGTGGGCTGAATCAGCTTACTGTGCCATCAGAGAAACAACAGAGCAGGCACAACTGCAGATACAAAGCAAGATCTTTCCCTGTCAGTGGGAGCTGCTGGATGGATGGGTTATGTTAGGAAGACAAGTACAGAATTTGATTTTACATCACTCGAGTCACAAGCTGTACTTGAAGAGTTGCCCCTCCTCTCCCCCTATCCCTAAGGGTCATTGGATTCACAAGACATCTTGCTGGAAAACTTTTGTATTTTGAGGGTTCCTTTTCTGCCAGATCAGTAAGGGAATCGAGTCATCCTTCAGCCACCAGACTGCCAGACCCATTCTAAACAAAGCAGTGGGAGCGTGTGCTGAGGCCAGGGAGCGGAGGCAGACCACCCTGCAGCCAGACTACAATGGCAAATCACGCTCTCGGGATATTGCACTCTCAGGATCTGACCCAATGCACAGTGAAATGAAGAACTGTCTTTTCACTGACTTTTGCAGTGAATCTGGATGAAATTTCACTCCAGGTTTGGAGCCAATTGCTACCAAAAAATCAATACTGCAACAAGACAACGTTTATATGGTTCATTTATTGTCATCTAAGTATCATCATTCTTTGTCTAGGGAATAAAATGTTGCTGCCTACAAATTTAGGCTCCCAAGGAACCTATCAAGGTCTTATTCAGATGCAGTATAACTATAATATACAGAGAGGTTACAATTAATCACTGAAGCTTCCTTTGTTTAAATAGACATTTGACTCAGGCATCATGAGTCAAATTCTACTCCCACCTAAAAGAAAGAACTGTCAGTGAAGGTTAAGTTTTACCCCACCATCAGAATCTGTTCAGACCATATATATATGTTTGTCTTTCTAAACTGGGTTCAGTGAGTGTGAGGTCCAAGGTTCTGGCTTCGTAGTTCACACCCCAGCGATCTAATCATCTCCTGTTATGGCCTCCCTACCAAAATAACCTCGTCTAGGTGATCCTGCTCTGGCAGGGGGTTGGACTGGATGATCTTTAAAGGTCCTTTCCAACTCCTAATATTCTGTGATTCTGTGGTAAGCTGCGACACAGTATTTAAAATCAGTGCTGTATTCTTTCGTCACATTTCCTAGACCAATGCCAGATCACAGTAAAGAACACAAGAGTACTTATAACCAACCTCAGATTCTTCATAAGTGTAGAATCCTTTTGTTATTTTCTTTTCATCGACATCACAAAATGCGGTTACCTGGCAAAACAAAACCAGAACATTTCAATACCATTCCTTGCTACCAACAGATGTTTCACCCGTAGCGTATCTACGTGAGTAATGCTACAGACACATGAACGAACACAGGAGTAGGGCAATGCACCCTGGTCCTCCTTTGGAGATTAAAAATTTATGAAATCCTCATCATGTGTATTAAGGAGATGGTCAAATTTTACAGTTGTTTGAGCATATTCTGGTTTTATGAATATGAGAACAGGTGATTAAGCTACTGACTGCGTAAGAGAAAACATCTATGAGATCATCAACATCCTTAGAAATATGCAAAGTAAACTAAAACCAGAGACAAATCTCCTCATTTTGGCACTGCCACTAATCACCTCAGATTGGACAATACAAACCTGCCTCCTTCTGCCCACCCAGGCTTATCATCCCCCACCAGATCCCTCAGTGTAGCAGTGCTGCACTACTGCTCTGGGTGCTCTGGTAATACCAGCCCCAATTCTAGGTCATTAGACACCAAGTCTGGGAATTCCTATGGTTATGGACTCTGTATTTTTCAACTGAAAAGTTTGGTGGATTTGGTGTTTAAACACAAATAATTACTGCTGTGTTTTGGTTACTCTTACTGTCATTATGGAAGCATTATTTGCAGCCAAGTATTTCAGATGTTTTTTTATTTGCATTCCTCATAAATACGCAGGCATAATAAATGCCTGCAATCCAAAATACACAGTGGCCTCATTTTTGAATCATTAGGTTGCCAGTAACTTTTTGGACGACTTATAAAAATAAACATAGCTGTGTTTTCCTCTGTCTTCCACTGGATCTATTCATATTATCTGCGCAGAACTCTTACACTGAAGCAGAACCATTAAGATAGTTAAGGTCTCGCAGAAATCAATTATTCTGGTGAAAGCTGGATAGCAGTTTTCCTATCTTTTTAATTGTTGCATTAAAAATTGATTAACTACACTTACTGCTGAGAAAATCTGAAAAGCCAGACAGCTGTTTATTAATTTATTAAATTAGAGAAGGCTGCAAAAGGCTGGCTTGCTTTCTGTGTCCACAGATCTCTCTCACACGTTTTCCTCCTATGATTAAGACAGTTTTCTTTTACCTGAAGTGACCTCATTGTGTTTGTGCAGAGGGGAACACTGCCACAGGAGCTTTGGTGTCAGAATGCTCAACTTTGGCATGTTTTACAGCAGAGTGCCACCTTCCCAGCCCGAGGGCAAAGCTGCCGAGGAACAGAACTGTGTAACGCGTATTTTCGAGCAATGGCCAGATAGAGCTGCATAAAAGAAGTTTCCACATCAAAAATGCTTTGGAGATACTTCCGCTGTCCGATGGAATAGTCTTCTATCCAAATCCTTAAATACCATAATATCAGCTCTTCCATTAAACATCAATGAAAAGAGAATACAAACAAAACTATCAAGGGACTACAAATATAAAAACACCATCACCAAGGTCAATGTGCAAAATACAGCTAATAAACTGGGGGGGTGGGCAGGGACAGTCCTTGGAACCATTTAGAGGTAGACATTCATACATCAAAAATTGGTTGCTTGAAAACAGGCACCAAAGAAGTAAAGAACAGAACATGAAGGAAACATCAAGTTTCCACTTTGGGGCTGTATGACCAAAGGAATCACACTACAGGCCAGCAGATCCAGATTTTTGCTTTGGATTATATCAATACACCGTAATGGAAACATAAAGAAATGAGGGAATTCAGGGCAGTACTCGGAAGTTACTACACATTGTACATGGTCTTTGTGGCTGATGCAGGCTGGGTTAGACAGTAACAATCACAAGCAGCTCCTCAAAGCACAAAGCCTAAGAACAAGGACCTTTTTTAGGCTTTCTTTTTTCTCTTATACACAAGTTAATTCACTTCATGTGCCTGTCCCTATTTCCATGACCACTGTAATGCCTTATTGTAGCTGAAAAATCTGCTGCTGTGGACTGTGGATAAGCAAGAACTGAGCACAGTAAACTACATCCCCAGGTTTCCTCTACCCATCTTATTTGTATCTCCACTTACATAGACATCTATGTATATATATGAAGGGATACAAGTAGAAGCAAGAAGGGAGGTTACTTGGCTGTATACCTTACATTCAGTGTTAACCATCCTTTACAAGTCTGCAAAACTCAGTTCCACCACTGATGTCCTACTGTCCTCAAAGCTGTGATAACTACAAGCAAAATGTAGCAGTTTTAAAAGAATATGTCTTCACTGACAACCAGAGTTCTGGGAGTAAATACTTTCTGATATTTTGACTTATCTTCCAACAGTCAAAGCTATATTTTCAGCTGCTTATACTCCTATAGATTTTAAAAACTATACACTAAAAACTCTTGACATAAGGTAAAGTTAAATTCTATCCACACTTTAATGTCAGTAACTGAGAATTCAGCTGCAAGATCTGCGCTGGACTCACCTTCAGCAAGCTATAAAAGAGTTAACACAAACCTCTGGTTAGGGCATAGATTTCTTTTTAACATGAACGGTGTTAGAGAACCAAAGCTAGTTCTTGTGTATCACTAGATTACCAATAATCACAATCCTTCCTCTCATCCTGTGCCATAACTCAGATTTATCATGTGCAGGAAATGATGTAAACTGCCTTTGCCATACTAACACCCAGCCCCCTGATGAGCCAGCACATGAAACTCCTGGTAACAGCAGCTGTGAGGGGAAAAGAAAAAATAATCTTAAAAAAGCCTCAAACAGGTCAGTCTGTGTCAATTTTCCCTTGGAAGATGGAAAGGACTCAAACCTTGTTTTGAGTTACCACGAAGGTATCTCCATGTATAATTTTAATGGACTCAGCCAGCTTAAATCTGATGTTTACAGAATTATAAAACAGGTCAGACTAGAATGGGCAATTTTTCTGTCAGACTGTACACCATGTGGGTGGCCAAAATGTAAGTCAACTATTTTTCTGCCACACACTATTTATTTTCCAATTAAAGAAAATCTGTGTCTGGAGTCCAAATACAGGACTTGCACACAATTGTTTATCCTATAATGAGAACTCAAGGCATCAGGCTTATAGGAGCTATTTACTTTATAGTATTAGGATAAACCCAGAGTTACCTATTTATTTTCCTGCATTAATGGGCTCCTTCCCTGTATCTTTTATGAAGACCATCTATACATACATGAACTTCTGCCTTCCACGGAGAAACCGATGAATTACAAAGCTGTAAAGCAGTCTCAGGTTGTTTCCTCCACTCCTCCTCCTAGCAAAATGGCTCTTTTGCAATGCCTCTGACAATATGACACCATTGAAGCTTACTGAGTCCTCAGATCACACTTCAGTTTTAAGAAAATATCTACATTATTAAACAGTTTTGTTTTGAACATCAGTTGTATGAAAATCTGCGCAATTCCAAAACATAGAAAAAACACTGCTACTTCTCTCAGTTAAGAACTGCAAGCCCTAGCTAGGTATAAACAAGCCACACAGTTGCTACAAGTCTTATAAATACAGACTGCAACATGCATTAACAATGGAGTAAGGAAAAAAAGGGAAGAAGCAGAAATACTTTTCTCCCTCATAAGAGAAAGTTTATATAGCTCAAAAGATAAGATATTTACTAAAAAAAAAAATCTCTGCTAGGAGAAGACACATTTGAGGAAGATAAAAGCACTTCCTTGGCTGGTTCTTTTTAATAAACACACAGGCTGGGACTACCAGACCTCCCTGTGGTAAAATGTCCTTAACGAGCAGCAAATGGATCCTACTCCAATTGCACAGGGAGCCAGCAAGATTGGGCTTGGGATGCAATGGTAATTACCTCGCTGTCTGACTGTGTCACTATTGCACGAGAATTAACAGTTTGTCTCATACTTGACTTGTTTATGGCCTTGTTGGTTGCTGCAGAGGATGTTTCCTTACACTTCCCATTCCACTCTGATTCCCTAATGGAAAAATGGAAATATTTCATCAGCCTCACAATGTCCTTCTGTGGTGAATGATCTTCATAGGATTTTATTCCCTCATCTTATTTTCACCTGTGGTTTGCTTTACAGAAAGCAACAAAACCCAATCACAGCAAATGCCCAAGATGCGTCAGAGGTGGCAGGACACAGGAGACAAGTTTTACAAGGGAGAGAATAACTTAGAGCGTGACAGAAAAAATGGACAACCCTTTTGATAAATGGTCACCTGCACATTGTCTCCTCTCCCTCTTTATTACATCAATTGGTGTCACAAAATTTATCCTTAAAATGGCTGAAGGATTGCATGAGATGTGGAGAGAATGCAATAGGGAAGATCTGCTCGTAGAGGATTCTGTAGAGTTTGCAGGTTGTCTTCTCTAAACTCCCAGTGACCCTCTTGATTCTATTTATAATTCTTTCATTCAAACTTATCTAAAGCCTCAGAAGTACGTTAACATACATGTCCACAAAAGTTAAATCGATTTTGGCCATTCATGTCAAAACAAAGTAACTGAACACATGATAATGCATGTTTAAACAGATTCAGTTAATGACAAACAGAATGAGAGACATGCAGAGGCATAAACATCTTCCAGGATGCCACAAGCAGAATCACGAAACCAGCAAGCAACCCTCAGTCACCATCTGAGTGATTTTCAGTATCAGTGTGCTGCTTTTATTTCCCCTCTTTGGCATTACAGCCACGACAGAGGCTGTGGATATATTTAAATTCCAAGCATGTATTTTGTGACTCCCTTTAAAGACACTGTTCCATTAAAGAAAGCAGCATCTTCCCTTGTTGCACATCTACATAACAGAGTTGTTCAAGAGAACTGTAATACCAGAATCCAATGTGCAAAATAAGCTTCTAAATATCGTATGTACAACATTTCCCTTATTACATACGACTGCCTTTATACGTAACAGCGTGGGAACTAGCTGTGAGTGCCCCATTTCTCTTGGACAGATAACTACATTAGTCATGCCACAGTGAGTGCCTCTGTACTGACAAAACGGACCCTGCAAGAAGCGCATCTTCCCACACGGAAGCAGCAGGGAGATTTCCCTTCGTATTTCAGCATGAAGTATTCCCTACAGTCCAAAATGAAGCCTCTATTTTACTCCATGTCATTTTAGGATGTTCTATGCTTGGATTTAAGTGAAGCTTTCAAATTTCATCTCTCTCTGTTCTGCAGGCTCTCTTTTAACTTGCTTTCACATTGTCAGTCTCTCACTCCCCAGTCAAGGTGTGTAATAATACTCTTCCCTTTCTGTTCCTTTGCTTTTACATGTCCCCAGTTCAGTCTCTCTGCTGCCATTCACATACTTTTGAGCAGCTACAATGCTACAAAACTAACATTTCTTGCTTTTCTGAGTGAGCTGAAGGATCACAGTTTCAGCACATGGTTTAGTGACATTGCTCTTAGAAACAGGTGAAGAGAAGCTGAGAGATGATTTTAAATGGTTAATGAGCTAGGAAAAAGGGCACACAAAATGCTTTCCTGAAGCTTTCAAGTTTGCCACTGGTGGATAGGGTTGTCATAGAGAAACTTCATGGGCTGCTGTGGCCAGTACTGTTTCCATGCCACTCATTAGCTGATGCTTGTTTTGGCCTTTCCCCCTCCTTTTCTGTCAGCCACTCAAGCTATCCGAGCTATTTTCAGCTATCGGAAATGACACAAAATGTTAACACTGGAGTTCTCCTTTTAGCTGAAGTTTGATGGAGAATAAAAGAGCAGACAAGACAGCTCAGAAACCCTCCAGGCACATGTAGCATCCCAAAAACATTTGGTTTCCATCTTCAGCTGCAAATTATAGACAAGACGGATGTGTTTTAAACAAAAAAAGGTCTGTTCGACTTCATTCTTGCAGAAATGCTAATACTGAACCACTGTCAACTGCATGAATCAAGAAGGGGACAGCCAGGAAACAGATTTTCCCTAAGAATACTGAGATCCTGGTAATTAATTCATAAAAAAACCTACTAGTTGAATAATTTTTTTCTTGTGTTGCTGTTTAGCAAAAAATACTGAGCCTTGGATTTTTGCCTGAACTATTTGGAGACAAAGCATTATTTTAATATTCACCATACAAATGTCTGAAGGGAAAGACAGAATATTGCTTAGGTGTCCTTTTCTCTTTTAACACAATCATAATTCAAATTCAGACTGTTTTCCAAACAGGCTAAAGTAAGAGTTTGTTAGTGAGTATGAACATAGAAGGACTGCTGCTTCCTGGAACTGCCTAAAACGTGATTTCTAAAACACAACGCTGTCGACATGCAAAATTTTTATACTTTTCAAACATCCCACAAAAACCTAGTCAGGAGAAGAAATACAATTTCTTTGTTTATCAGCTTCTAAAAATACTTGAAACATTCTGTTTTGAGAAAGATGTTTTCTTACGTGCGCTAAGCCTGACAGTTCAAACTAATGAATTCTCTTCCTGAAGGTTTAGTAGAGTTTAGGGGGTTTTCACAATTACAAAATAATACAAGCTGTATGTGATAGGGTTGGTTATTTTTTGAGGGTTTTATCATTTATTTATTCTAGGAGTATGTTCCCCCAGTTTTCTACAGGAAGTTAATGCCAATGTAGAAACCAATCCTGCTGTGATTCCACTGAAATCAGTCTCACGACATCTAAGGAAATTCAGAATCTCAGTAAAAGGATGCAGCAAGAGTGAAACAGAGCATAGGTGAAATTTTCAGGAGTCCAAACTGACTTAAAGTATAAAACCTTCTGAAATTAAATTCAGACAGTTAAATTCTAGAGCTTATTTTGGCAGTTTTACCTGCATTTCAAAGGGTTTTAGACCTTTTAAGATCAGAACGTTTTACACAACTGGACCTTCAGATGAGAAAATCGTAATTTTATTATTTAATAGTTCATATTTTGTCTGAAGGGACTTTTGGAATTGTATTTTAAAAGTGTCCATTCTACATAATTGATTAATTCATACCCCAGGGCCTCCATTTACAAGACAACACTAGATTCTACTTGTGGATTCGAAACGTTACTGAATCTCTAGTGTCCTCATAATTAACAGAATATGTGAACTCTTAAATCTTGTTAAGGCAGTCTTTAAAGGGTGAGACAGGAAAAGTATTTCATTATTTTCAGGGCTGGAAAGGATGGAGCAACGACTATTTACAACCTTTGTTCACAAGGGATTTCAGAGTCTTTGGCAAGAGTTGAAGATTAGTCACAAAATAACCGAAGGATTTTTGAGGAAAAGTATAACATGGAGTTTAGCTAGCTTCTTTTTACTGTTGTTATTAAGAATAAATGAAAACTGCCATGAATTACCTACTATAAATTTTATGAATTTATTTCCTGAAACTCCAGCAGTATAATCCTTTGATTACACATGGAGAAGTGAGATGTTTTAACTACTTCTACAGCCCTTTGCCACACCCTGGCTATGAAACATCAGGTTATCATTTATGCTTCAGTTCTGACTGAGATGGATAGACTTGAGATCTCTTTTGGAGAAGTTAGGAAGTTGCAACTGCATTCAGAATGAGCCTGAACAACCACTTAAACCTAGTGCTTTTATCACTGCAGATAACACTAATTTCATCAGAAATTAGCTACCTAAAAGCTAGGCCTCTGCTCTCACTTGGGATGACAGAAGTCACTTTCTGAAGCTATTTATCTTAGTTATTGAGAAAACCTCTGAATACTCGAGAAAACAGGTCAGTGGATAAAGTTTGATTACTCTATATGAGACATTAAGGATCAGATCCTGACTGCCTTTTAGCAGTAGTTTTCTGCAGTACATTTGCACACTGAGTCATACCTGCGTGTGCAATTGCATCTGGCATGTAAGCTTGCTAAATGTGTTTGGTACAGTATCCAGTAACTAACGGGTTAATGCTCAATGCAGTATTTCAATATCAAACTAAAGCATATTGGAATATGTGCAACTGTAACCTTGACAGAAGCAAAATAGCATCACAGCCTGCAACACTGCCAAAGCAAATGTTATGAAAAGGTCAGCTGAAAAGGACGTCAAGATCCAGCTAATTAGAACCAAACTCAGTGCTATGTACTGGGGAATTAAGGTTGTTCCTTCTTGAAGAAGAGGTAACTGTGGTTCTTTGCCAGAAAATGGCAAAAACCCACCAATATTATTTTTGTCTTGCCCTTTTTATCATCTTTGCACCAATGTGTTCAAATTATCATTGTGTTTGCTGAACAGGATGTGAAGTCTTGAATGAGTCACCTAGAGAAGTAGGTGGCAAACATAACCCAAAGCTAAGAGAGGTGCTCTATCATAATCTCAATCTCCAATTTGGCTTGGCACAAAAAAAGGTAAAAACCAAAACCACCACCACCAACAAAATCCAACACCTGAGATGGTGAGACACTGCTACAAAAACAACATATTCTGTTTTTTCCTAACAACTCAAAACTCCCTGCTTGCACGGTACAAGCAGACAAGCTGCCATCTCTCCCCTTGGAAATTACTTTCTAATTCTCGTAATCGTGTAAACAGAAAAGTGCAGTGGTTGCTAGTAAGTTAGTGGAACTCACAAAGTGCTCTACAAAATACTAATGACACAGAGCACTTTCATAAACCCCCCAAAGTCACGCGCACAATGCGTTGCATGACCAAGACAACGCAATACATCTAGCGGACGGTTCTGGCCTCTTAGAACAAAAGAGCTGATTGCAGACACATAGCGCTCAATCTTACTCCAAGCAGTTCACCCACTTCCACAGGATGGCAATGAAAGAGGGATGGCACTGGAGTACCAAATTCAGGTTCAATTCTTGTGTTGTATATTTACTGTGCAAGTGTCTCTCATGTCTATTCAGTAATTTGAGCTATGGGTACACAGATTTCTTCCCTTATCTTTCTACATGTGTGTGGTCAGAGGGCCACTACATTAATCAGGTTTATATATATGTCATTTTGTCTTCCCATCCATATTTTTAAGAAAAGAAAACACATCTGGTAATAAAATGAATGTTCTGTGGCTCTTTATAAGAAACAGCCATTTAACATGAGCTCTAAAGCCTTTATCTAACAAAAAGTTATTACGCAGAAGAAAATTACGTAAAAGGTATTTAAACTCTCAGACAAACCTCTCCTGAGAAATATCTGTCATTACCAAATACAAGTAACTTCCACATTTTCAGCTGAGTTGAAGCTGGTAGCCATGTACACTAGTCTCTACTCCCCGACACCCTGCATCGCACTTCTACTTGTAAACAATCAAGCTTTGCAGGAGGGAGTTACAGTCCAACTACTCCGTAATACAAACCAGGATGATCAGCACCTGACAGGGACTCGTCCAGTAACCACTTAGGAACTGGACAATTATTCTACATATGTATACATACATGATAGACGTATGAATAATCCTGGACAAGGCAGTTCAGTATTGCACCATCTAAATACGGAGTTATTCCACTCACCTTGTGTACCTGGCTACTACACGGTTAGTTACACAGCAGCAGGCCACAACCAGTTATATGGTGTCTGATCTACTACTGTGCTGGCCATCAGCCAGCAGGAACATGAGTGCATATGTTGCCCTTCATACACACCATACGCTCCAGAAAATGTAATATAGCATTTTAAAAGAAAAAATACATTATGCAGAATATTGAGACTTTCCCCAATTTATATTAATCATCAACTAGTATTTTGGACAGACAATACTGTATGAGAATTTTGCTACATTATGTTAGAAGCGGCAAGAATGCCTATGAAAGAGAGGAAAGAGGTTTTGTACAGACGTTGCCCACTCCTAGCTCACCTTTTTCTGATTAGATGGTGACAAGCTTCTGTAGAGCTTCTTGCCTTGCTTGCCAGCATTCCAAATGGTGAATGATGTCCAGGAGCTCAGGACTCTCTCTTCAAGAAACCTGACTCGGTGATTCCAGATGGTTCCCCTGGAGAGTTAGAAAAAGGGGTGGATTAATAACCCTAAAACGTTCGGCATTATTCAATACCACTATGCATATGTACATACCCACATACGCATAAACCTGACCAAACCGATTCACACATGATATGAAAAAAATATCAGACAAAAACATTGTGCTAGAAATTTCCAAGGGAAATGTGAAGTATTGCTAGAAAAAAAAAATAAATCTGTGAAGTTCTCAGACAAAAATCATTAGGATAGATTTGAAGCTGTAGCTACATCACTATTATTTTTAAGAATCCTAATAGAAGATCACAAGAAGATGAAAAACCGTAGCAACAGTAATCTAATTCAATACCAACCATTCTGTGCTCATGGTGTGAACTGCTGTATGACACTGCACTGCACACCGGCAAACGACTTCATATTCCATCTGCCCATGCCTTCATTCTCCTTCGCAAATGAAAAGCTGAAATCTCATCAATTCAGTACTCCAACCCAAATACACAGCCCAACGCACAACGAAAGTCCATTTACATTGTGGCATTTGGCTCAAGTTTTCAAGAAGTCAGTTTTCAAAGCTGTGAATCGGCGGACGCCCGTACAGCAACAATGGCTGAACACAACACAAACTACCGGCTGTTACACGCCATGCACGCTTGTGAACGTGCACACACACACTTTAGACCAAATAGAAGTGATTTAATTTTAAAGGTTCCAAAGTATTATTCAGCAGCGATATGAATGTGACTGTGCCTTTATTTGAAGATGACTTTTATAAGAAAGAGCATTTCTAGAAACAAAGAGCAGTGGAAACTTTATTTTTTTTTAAAGTAGTATGCTTCCAAAACATCTTAAAATATGCTTTAGGAAAAAAGAAAGCTGGCAGATGTCTGTGCCCAATTACACCTCTTTGTCTTCATATTTGTAACAAGTTCCACAGGATAATTTAAACCAAGCAGTTGAAGTAAACAACTGTGAGACCAATACCAAAGGGCAAACCGCTTGGCTCTGGAACCAGTGACAAGGGAACACCTGACGTCTTTGAAATCTGAAGACTGGATGAGATCTCCAACAAGTTCAAGATACGCTCTTGGAAAGAGGGGACAGCTTCAAGGAAAGCATTTTGTTCATGAGCCGTGCATCCTACCAGCAGGGATTAATTCACCCTGACAACTACAGCTTTGTGTGTGTGTGTGTGTGTGCGTGCACATGTGTACACAATTCCTATCACTTTCACTTGCTGTTGAAACAGCAACTGCCATTACATAATGTAATATTTCAGACTGCATCATTTACAACGGTTTAAACAAAGCTGCCTGCTGTTAAGAACATCTGCTTTATGTCCAGGGTTCATTTAATATTCATTAACTAGGAACCCATCTTATACTTAATGAACAGTGTTCTTGATACAATAAATTGATTTCCTCAATTTATGGCTTGACGGACAAATCTCCCTAATGTACCTCTCTCAAACAAGGCACCTTGAGTTGATAAATGTCTTTCATAGGAAATTCTAATAAACACCCAATTGTCTTTCCTTTCTGAAAGCATTTCTTCAGATAGGTTTTTCCATTTGCTTTACCACGACAGGACACTTTATGACAACTTTTATGACTTGTTCTACAAATTGTAACACCTCTTGTGATTCAAGAAATTAGACACTGAAATTAGTTAAAGCATTAATAAAAAAAAAACCCTACCAATTTTCCTGTGAGATCCTAAAGATACCTATGGGTTTTTTTGTCATGGGAAGCATGTATTTTTTTCCTACCAATAAACCTTCTCCACAGTTCAACTTTGAGGCCTACAGTTTTCTGACTATTTCAAATTGGTATAGAATTTAAACACCGAATTACTCAAAGAATATGTTATTTCTTCTGCTTCAAATAAGGCTTCCGATTCAGGAGTCAGAAGAGGTTATCGCTGGGCAGCTACAGCGACCTACTGCTGCTCTGCAAGTGCAGCTTGTGATTTACAGAAAAATCAAAACCCACTCAAGTTCCCTTATGTTCAGGATCTCAACTGCCAGGAGGGCAGGCAGTCAGGGACCAGAGCACTGCAGCTTTGCTGTTGTCACTCACTCACTCAACCAGTGAACCAGACTGCTCCGTCCCTTAGCTGCAGTTCTGATCATCCGTAATCTCGCATGCATTGCGCCAATTTTGGCCCTATTACAGAACTGTAAATCCGTGAGTATGATCACTGGAGATGTCTGGTGATCTGGCATTACAGGAACATCTGACCTCTATGAAATGTTTTCTATTTTTTTTTTCCTTTTTGTAATGGATTATCCAATGACACAAAACCAAATTTGTTGTTCCAAATTATTCTTATGAAGTATACGAAACAAGGTACAAATCATTTGAGGTTACTGACGTTAACAGGTAACCTCAGTTGTTCCCAAAAATTTGTTAACAAAATAATAGTAAATATTTCAATGATAGGAATTCTGTGGCTTTATTTTGCTTGTTCCTTCATATCCCTGAGTTACGGTTAGAAAAACATGACACCCTTATACCTATAAGACTTACGGATTCTTGCTGGGATTATTAGTTAGCTCCAGAGAGCCCAGTTCATTTCAGCATGTGATTTTTGAGCACAGCCAAATCCTGCTTAGCACTTCATCACTGATTGTGGTGCGATAACTTGGAAAGAACTTCACACACAAGCAAATGTACCCAAGAAGAACAGTTACTCCATATAAAATTTCCACGCTGTTTTGAAGACTACGGCTGTGCACCAGCGCTTGAACTAATGGAGAAAAAAAAAATACCTTGGATATGATTGCAAATCTCTTCTAATGCAACCACAAGCTGCATTCCTGATTAGCTGCTGCTGGCATCCTTTGACACTTGCCTTTTCCCATGTTTATTAGAGCATACTATATTCTCAGAAGGAAAGTTAAATGAAAATTATGAAGGTCAAATATTTTTCCAGGATCATTTTACTGGAAATTTTAGAGTTTCTGCTAGCTTCTAAAAAGGAAGATTACTGCTCTACACGTAAATGGAAAGGTTTTAAAACTGACTTTACTTTGAACTGTGACTTCAGAAGGATAACACTGTATTACATTCCACAGGCACTCCAGAATCTGTTCTGTTGGCTTGAGTGATATAGGCAAGTTTCTTTTCCACTTGATTTTGCAGTTAAGAAAGCTGAAGAAAAAACAAACAACCCTACAAGGCATAAAAAGAATTACCAACTAATTTCTAGTTGCAGGGCAAACACTGGAATCTGCATCCAGGTATGCAGAAAATGCTTCTGTTAGTCCTGGAAATGTCCCAGCACATTCACAGAATCACAGAATCACAGAATCACAGAACGTTAGGGATTGGAAGGGACCTCAAAAGCTCCTCCAGTCCAATCCCCCTGCCGGAGCAGGAACGCCTAGATGAGGTTGCACAGGAAGGCGTCCAGGCGGGTTTTGAATGTCTCCAGAGAAGGAGACTCCACAACCTCTCTGGGCAGCCTGTTCCAGGGCTCTGTCACCCTCACTGAGAAGAAGTTTCTTCTCAAATTTAAGTGGAACCTCCTGTGTTCCAGCTTGTGCCCATTACCACCATTACCATTATTCAGTATCGGCTGCTTCCAAGCAGTATGCATTTGCTGTCTGATGATGGGTGCCTATATTCCACAGAAGTCCCTAGAGAGCTAAAATTCAAGCAGACCAAATCCCAGTGTGGGTAATCGCCCACAAAGATTTCAGACTGAAGCAGATTTACTGATCCAATCTCATCTATGAAAGCTATGTTGAGAAATGCAAGTGTGGAAAGGATTTAAGGGAACTGCACTCAGAAATAAAAGGATACGAAACTCATTCAACTCCAAATCAATTGGATCACTGTTCAATTGCAAGAATACTGTCAGCTTCATTTAAAACACCAATAAATGGCTTTCTTAAATGCATGTCTTGGATTGGGAAAATGACACCAATATAGTCAGGACTTGTGATTTTTCTGCTTGCATCACTATAAGGCATTCTTATGGAAATGCTTACGGAGAAGAATTCAAAAATCACATCCACATATTTGGTGTGCCCTTTTTAATGAAAATTTTAAGCTGCATCAAACACTTAGCAGTTTTGAGTTAACACTGAAATTTTTTAACAATACAAGGTGAGATAAACAGATAAATACAGAACTGAGGGGCAAATTTGTGACTGTGCTTTAGCGTGACAATGACAAACTTTCTCTTTGTGAAAATGTTCTCTGCACAAACAATGTATCTCACGTGCTGAAGCCAAAGGCAGCTTACAGAGTGTCAAAAGAGAGAGTTCCAGTTATCCCCTTCAGGTTTCCGGTTCACCTAATTTGCCACATTTTTTGATGTTTCTAGAATAGATAACTGGGATTCCTGCCTCGAGGGATAAGGAAATGCCATTTTCCCATCCTTTAAGAGCAGTGCAGGTGCAACAGACAGGAACTGTAGCAACGTGCAAAGACGATTAAAGAAAACGCCCGAAACGATCTAGAAGTTGTACAAACCACTACTCAGAGACGATTCTCACGGCTATTTTCAGATTTTGCATTATTACATACTCATAGCCACCAGCAAAAACTAGGAGGTATTATTACTCTGCATCATCCCAAATGAAGGCTGCTGCTCCTACCCCTGTCAGAAAGGATTAAAGCAAGGAGTTACCCAGTAGCCTTCAGCATCATTTCCTAGCCTGTATTCAGTCAACAAGATTTTCCTCAGCCAGAAGGTGGGACACAAACTCTTTCTCCTTGATCCAAATTCTCGAAGTACGTTATTTTTCCCCATTTCTTTCATTTATTTGCCACTTCTTTACTTCACGTAAGAAATGTAAGAAATATACATTTTTCTACTTGGAAAAATAATTCTCGAGGCTTACATAACCATCCTAAGATCTCATTCACCACAGCCCCTCTACTCATCAGTTATGAAGTCTGGAAGGAAGAAGAGGAGCCAAAATTCTGCAGGAGTGAAATGGGTGTATTCATGCAGCGGGTGAGAATGACTCTGAAGTGTGTTCCTCAGTCCCCAGTAGTTATTACCATACCATCCACCCATGTAACGGAACAATGGAGCCCTGTTAAAATGTGTGGTGACCTACTGACTGCGTACAGGAGTCAAGAAACATCTGCTCTACTCCTATTTTGAAATGAAAGATAATGTGACAATAAAAGCTATATGATTTAATGTCTGAGCTCAGTTAAATCTTGCCATATTGTTTAACTGCCTTCCCCCTCCTTACCCCAGTGAGGCTGCATAAGTGAATCAACAGAGCAAAGACAGATGTACAAGTACTTGAGAAACGCACAAATACCAGCCCAATGGCCTAAGCAGTACTGGAATTTTAGGCATTGATTACCATCCACAGTAACACTATAAATCTGTAAACCTGCCCTTTCCTATATACGTTGGTCCTGCCTATGCTACTCAGGTCTAACACCAGATGGGAAGAGGAGCTATTCAACGGACAGCCCCTTTCAGTGTTATTTGTTATTTACGGCAGGATAATATAGTTTTATATTACAGGTGAATCTCACCTGATAGATAATCCAGAGGTGGAAGAACAGAGAACTTTTTAATCACAGCGAGAGCTGAAAGAACAGATTCATTACAGCTAGTTTTACACACAGAATTCAAGGTCCTTACAACCCACAGGAAATTTGGAAATGAATCGCATTTGAACCTTGACCATACTGGTGAATAAACTGAATTTTTTTGTCGTCGTTGTTCTGTTGAACTTCATGTGAACTTATTAATTGCCGGACTATATCGTCCCACTGAGTTATTACATTTACACTGTTAATAGGTTCTATTAATGTCTGAGTTCATCTTCAGGTCGTGGGTCATTAACTGAGGCATGGTTTGCATTGTGGCCTATTTTTCATGAAAGGCTTATTAAGAAAGATGGACTATCAATGCTAATGCCATTTACTTTTCAAGAATCTAATGAGGTCATTAGTTTCCATGTTTAATTGAAGTGCCAAACGCAAGCACAGATGATAAAAATGCAGTTGACCTCATCTTTATGTCAGTTGTACAGGAATACGTTACGCTATTTCTCTCTCCTGCCTATTTTTGGATGCATATGTTTTTGCGGGAAATGAAGCAGGAAAAAACATTGGCAACACAAGACCCGTGCCTCAGAGAACCTCTAACACAACCTAATGTGTGTTTCAGACTAAAGTGCCTGTCCTCCTTCACTCAGATGACACTGGGAGCTTCCAGAGCCCTACACCAGATGGTTTCAATAGATTACGTAATTTTGGTTATCTCTGCAGAACAAGCTCTTACGATATTATTCTGAATACACGGCATATGAAATTATAAGTAAGTATATTTCACATTTCCTGCATAAAAGGGAGTCATCAGAATCTCACACGGAAGGTACGAACCTTATTTTCTGTGTATATTAAACTTCCTTTGACCAGAAATTGTAAATGGCTGCAGAGCTTAACTACCTGCCCGAACTGCCTGTCTTCATGAGTAACACTACCTAAAGACAACTAAAATGTTTTATTGCTCTTCTTGCTCCAAGCTGACTTTTATCTTGCAGTGAGGTACACTGGTTTATATACAGTTCCTTTTTCTCCCCCTTGGCAAGATAAAAATCTATGCATTTTACAGTGTTTTCATTATACACCAAACTTTCTTTCTACAGTATTTCTCAGTATAAAGCCAGTGCTGATGTTGTATAAGATCAGCATAATGCAGCTATGTAGCACAAAGTACACACAGCCCTAGGATACAAGCTGTAATGTGAGATAAAACGATTTAGATCCAAGAGATACAACACGTGGGACTTTGCGTTGTAAATTCTTGGTTGAAGAGAAGTTTCTCAAAACTCATATCGCTCATTCATATTTAGCAGTTACTCATCATAAGCTTTAGATGAATTTACAGTGAGAACATTTATATTTCTGTATGCACCTAATGATATCTAAATATAGACTGTACTTCATTCAGACTCTGTCATACACCCAAAACACTTAATAATGCGTTCGGATGCCTCCAGGGTAAGGGGGAATGCAAGTAAGAGTTTGTTTCCTGCTTCACAGATACTTTCACCTCTAGGTATTTGTTCCAGAAGGATGCTAATCATAGGAAACGACCTAAAGATCATTAGTGTTTACAATTATACATACTAAAAAAGAACGAAATGTTACTAGCCAAGTAGTTTTATGTACATTTTAGGAAGTTTGAAAACGCAAAATCAGACATTTTTTTTCCCATGAATGGTAAAGAAAGACATTCATATAAACTGAAATCAGCCCACAATGGGCTACAAGTGACTGTTGTGTTTGCTGAAAAGACTGAACCGTGCACCTTTGTACAAACAGGTCCTACTAATCAGCTCTACTCTTAAAGAATGAAACTAGTCATAAACATGGGGGGGTGAATAATCAACTTTCCTACAAGCATCATTTTGATCTCAGACAAGACGTTACTCTGGTTGGTGAATTACTACTTCCAAATCCAGGCATAGGCTAACTCTGAAAAATTCAAAGAGAACATAGGCCAAGGGCAAAAGGCAAAACGTCACAGAAAACTCCTCAAACAAAACACACCATTAAAAAAGAAATACTAGAAAAGGTAGAACACACATTAAATAGGGTGAGGTGACCAAAAGATGACCTAGGCAAGACTCAATTTAAATTATAAACTTAAACCTTTGTGATGAGTTCATTAACCTCTTTTTGCTCAATGCACACCTCAGTCTTTAGAAACCAACGTTGGCCAACCCTTCAAAACTTTGGCAACAGAGGAACAAACCAATAGGAAGAGACGTTACACAACCTCATGTGTGAAAGCTCACACACAATGTTATTAGCAGTAGTACCAGCAAGAAGCCAACTGGAAGAGTGGCCAGCCTGGCTTCCTAGAATGAAACAAGAAAGGTGCCCATCTGGACACACAAACTGCACATCTGAAACAGCTTACAATATTTCCACCTTCTCACAGTATGTTGTAATTCAGGGTGCTTGTGCCACACAACCTTGTGGATCTGAATAGGCAACAGCTTGCAGTAAATTCAAAACAAACTCATTTCCAAGAATAAGATGTTTTCCCACAGATACAAGCAACAGGCTTCCAAGAGTTCTTGCATCCCATGATACGTGGCTGAAAAATTTGTAACCAACTGCCAAAATGATTGCACACTAAAAAGAGGAAAAAAATCCCTTACATTTGAATACCAATAAAAATAACTTACCTTATATTTGTTTGCAAAATCCAAATAATATTTTACATTTGCTTGGAATGACTGTTTCAGAGTTAAATTATTTTATACACATCTGCATACCTACCTGTATTTATAAAGATCTATAGTGACATTAACTACGAGCATGATATTGATGCTAGCGTACTATAGGATTTACAGTAATACAATAATGTAGTGATACACAACTAAAATGCACATTAAAATGTTTCGTTTTACTAGTCAGCTCCACAAAGCCTTACAAATAAGACTGACTGAAAAGTGTATTTATATCATTAATCAGTAAGAAAACAGTTTACTTAATTACCACTGTGATTCTGGAGAAGGACTCCTAAAGAACAGTAAACCTCACAGAATTGTTCATTAATGTCAATGCACAAGAGAAATAAACAACTTTGGCTCAGCCTGCAGAACTTCTAATCAGGAAGAACGCCTCTGATGGGTAAAATGAGCATGTAGAGCCATCAGCAATCGACAATTTAACACTTTGTTTAAGGGCAGACCAGTACTGTGAAAGCAGTAGGCAACAGCTTACAGTAAAACACTGAGATAATTACCCCTACACATCCGCAGGTGTTTTTCAAACCTCGTTATCTGATGTAGATGATTAGAACTTTTGAAATATGAAAATAATATATGTAAATTCAGCACATTATGACAGGTTTATGTTTTTACTGTTTTATTCAAAATAAGGTTTTTGTTGGTATTATAAATTAGATTTTTTTTAAAAAATTGAGACAGTTCATTTTGAAATCAAGCTTTAAAATAATTTAAAAAAATACATTACAGTTAACATGGCAAAAAATAGGAGAATCACAATCTCACATATTAGAAATCCTAACTTAAATCCCCAATAAAATTTCACCACTAGGATAGATTTCAAAGGTGTTCTTGCAATTGATCTCAAAGGACTGAAAAAGTTACCGCTTTACTACTTGCTTTTGCCATGTTCAGCAGATGAGATATGTAATCGTACTGAGTATTTTTAATCTGCTTTGAGAATAAGAAACTTGCGTGCTTTAAATAACCAGAGGTTATTTGGGCAGATTACGAGACCTCACGATGAGTTACAGGCTCAGCTAAAGGGACGGTAACCGGAAGTTGAGAGAACAGCACTGACGTGACGCAGTCCCCAAAATGCTTCACCGCTATCACAAGACCTATTGTGAAATCAGTTCAAGAACAGCTGCAAAGATGAAACGATTTGTTAGAACATCTGTCAAATGTTAAAATGCCCCCACTCTATTCCTGCCTCACCAAACCATTACCATGGGCACACAGACAATGTATGGGCAAGAGCATCCAAGCCAAAGATTGCAATTCATCACTTCAATTGCACGTTACAGCACACCACTCAAATCAAATTCCAGCAAGAACAAACAGAAGACGAACCTTCCACCATCTACTGCCAGGATGATACCAGCATATTATGTTAGGCTTGCTTTCTAGCCTTTTTGATAAGCAAACAAACAATTAAATACAACTAGGTAATTATTTTGCTGTACGATGTCTTGGAGATTAAGCATCTTTGCTGCCAATCATCCACGATGAAGCTAATTTATTTTAAGTTCTACCAAAAAATGCAACTTACTCTAGGACGGAATGAGTTGCTGCCTGTGGATGGTAGCGGTACAGCAGGAGGCAACGGTTCACCCGAAAGACTTCACCACCCTTTTGGATATGTTTATAGAAAAACAACAAATCTTCTGGAACACCCTGGAAGAGAAGCAGTTATTTCAAACCAGGAAGTGACCAGTGTTCACAGCTACATCTGGTTTAACATCATTTTATTTGTATTCTTTCTATATGTCTCCACGAAGTTATTTAATGGTTCATTAAATAGACATCTGTAGAAAAGGTAGAGCTATTAAAAAAGAATGCAGTGCTATTTAAAAAATGAAGTCCAGCTGACCACTAGGACAAAGGTGGAAAATTAAACATCGTCTCATTTTGACAGAGATATAAAGCCTGGTACAGGTTAGTCCCGAAAGAGAGAATCCCATCTGCTGAACAGTCCATGAAGCCTGAAGTGCCAAGTAACCACACAGTTTACTATTTGTAACATTCAGCAGTGGCTGCAGGAGTGTCTTTTTGTTTGACCAGAATTACTGTTCTTTCTTTGGTTACCATACATATACTGGCCTCTAATTAGGAAAGGTGAATCAGGCCCCATAATAAGAAACTTTCACTTAAAAAACCCAGAAACCTCAGAATAAGGCATCCGAAAACAAAAGGTTTTGCTTGCTTTTTTTTTTTCTCCTTGAAACTTATTTCCATGGTACAGTTTTGCTAATGGGTTTGCAAGCAACAGTGCTGAAACACTGCAAGAAAAAATAATCTCCTAGAATTGTATATCTACCAGGCTTCAGAAAATATTAAAGATTTCATGATCATATGCAACATTTTCCACCTAAATATCTGAAAATCTTCATGCCAGAGATACAGAAGGACAACTTATGGCACATAGTAATCAATTACACGTCATGGCATATGGAAGCACAAACCCACTTTTAAAGATACAGGTAAAAATGCAGCATCTATTTACATTTTTGCAATGGTGCAACTTCTTGAAATATGGTAAGAACATGCAATTTTTCTATGTTTAAACACAGAGTTTTGTTTCTTCCAAACCAGGGTTTAAACGGTCACATGATTTTATCAGGCTAAAAATCTGATCTGTAAAACCATGTGGTCCAAATAAGATATTTAAGTGTTTTATCAACAAAAAGCTGAAAGATAACGTGACAAAGTTGTGAAGGAAAAGCAAAAGAAGGGAAAGGTATTGAAATACATTTCTTTCTGTAGACAGTATCACACACGTGAGTAACAGGGGCATAAACCTTAACCTCAACTTTAGGTATTAGATTTCAACACAGAAAAAATAATAAGAGCACAAGTTTAAAAAAACAACAGCAGCAGCATTTTTTCTCCATTACCACAGCTTCTGAGTTTCTTCCATAATTAAGAAAACACGATTCTCTAATTAAAGTGCTGGACATAGACTTCTGTGGTTTCTTCTGGCCTTCTAGTTACAAGAGCAACAGCTCAGTGAGTGTTTCTCACACCCACCGCACTGAGCCTTCGTGTCAGACATGGTCTGGACCGAGCAGCTGAGGCAGGGTGGTGGGGGGAGAGAAATGAGACAAAAAAAGCTTTGAACTCTGGAAAACAAATCCAAAACACTCGACTGAACATACGTATCTTGGGAGAAATCAGAACCAAATCAAGCTCTGTTCTTCGCAGCTTCAGACTTCACTATGTAATAGACAGATTTAAGACACTGAATTGGGCCACACTCCCAGATTCTGAGTAAAAAGGATTCTGATCTGATTGCTTGCTAAGGGCAGCTTATCTGTAGCTATTGTTTGGCTTTGTAGACATTTGTCTGACTTGTAGTTTAAGAGCTTTGATGCAGAAGAAAACTTTCAGAGAACTTCATACAATTTATGCTTTATATGAACCTACTTTGAAAGCCACAAAAGAAATGTGAGGGAAGCTGGAGTAGCAGACAGCAACCACAGACATCAAGAATACAAGAAAAACACAAACTCAAATTCTTTCCGTTTATCTTGTATCCCTTTCTTTTTCTTATTCTGGGCTTTAATGGAAATACCTTTTTCTCTCTAAGCTGTGTCAGGCAGGGCACAAATTTTGTAGCACATACAGCTTCCTGCGATAGTCCCATTTTGATTCAGATACATGATTACCTCACATACGTACCTGCAATTCATTTTCCTTTGAATCAGCATTTAAACTATTCAAGATAACCATTAATCTGTGTACCAAAAAAGTGAATCACTGCAAAAGTAAAAGGATCTTTCAAAACGCTGTCTGGATGTGAGCGCTCTTTTGCTTTACTTTAACTGGCAGAAAGACTTTGAAACAGAGTGCGCTCACCCCGAGGAACAGGCAGGTGCCTTGCGCTGCTCAACAGCGGGCTCTCACGTTACAAAGGAGTGGAGCTGCCCTGCACTTTTCAGGAGAGGAAAGATGTTGACTGCGTTATAGATCCTGCAGGGATGGGACTTCCTATGGCTGTTGAGCGTGTAAGTTTGTTGCAATACATGAGTTTCTTTCCAAATGAGACACATTATTGGATCCAGATGGCACTTTAAACACCAGAAATCTTTGCCAAACAACACAGCTTTCAAAGAAAAAGCTGTTTAACCACTAAAGGGATATTTTAATGTATTGGTGGAAAATTAATAGCCATAGCTAAAAGTATCAATTAAGGATCCAACACTTCAGCAACAGGCTACCACATAAATAGTTTGCAGCACTAATAAATACAATTAAATTGCATAGTTTACATGTTACTGGACTATATACAGAATTTTCCACATTACAGGCAAAAACCCAACCCTATGTGCTCTGCTGCATTAAGGGATAAACCCTTACGTAATTTAGCCTTGATTATAAGACCCGAATCCTGTAACATTTACTTCATTGTTTAGGAAATAACAGGTTAGAGGAAATTCCAAAAGATTACTTTCATCCAAATGTATTGGCACAGAGAATGCAGTTAAACAAAGATGATGGGGAAGTCAAATGGAAGGGAGGTGGTAAATTCTAAATTATATTTAATAACAGACTAGCAAAAAATGTCATTAGATGTGGAGTATGGGATGAATTTATAAAGTGTAATTAATCATTGGCTCCACCACTTTTTCTTTCCTTTTTAGATCAAATACTGATCTGTGTTCAGCTTTAACTATATTTTAACTGTATTTTTCCCCAGAGCACCTGATAGGTTATTTGACAGACTGACCATATTTTAATTCATGTTCCAAAAACCAAAATTCCTACTTAGCCCTCTACCTTTCAGGTGTTACTGTAACTGCTTGCCTTTCTGCAGGGAATGACATTTGTGTGCTCTGGCAGAGAAAAAAGGAAAAATGCATTAGTTAGCACCTAACAGCCCACAGAGTGACCTCAGAGCTTTGCAGCACGTGCGACAGTCTCCTGTGCACCAAAGGATATTTTGACACCTCCTCAGTTTGTGGTTTTTTGTGACCTTTTATCACAAAAATAGATCAAAACCAAGTTCCAGACGTTTTGTTTGAAGCCACAGTTTGTATTCAGAAATATGTTATTCCTGTTATAATAATATGTTATTCCATCTGGGGCTCATTAAGAATAATTTCCCCCTGTTTACACTTTGAGATTAGTTCAGAACTTTAAGGCTGTCATTTCATTTTTAGTTTTCAAACACTTAAAAGGGAAGGTTAAATACAGAGGTGACAGGAAATTTGGGACCAAGTTGTGGTAAAACTAGAGACAGAAACAAGTGTGGCATATTGCAGTTGTGATGTCAGAAATGATCCTGCTGGAATAAAGCCAAGACTATACAACTTGCCACATCTGCATGGTCTGCAGGTTAGCAATGCTCATTTATACAGCTCTTAATGTACTCAAGATTTCTTACAGCATTTATCTAAAACAACAAGCTAGTTGTTTTAGCCCGGTGCCATCACCCAGAAGTGACTAGAACAAAAGGACAACACGCTGAAAGAGACTGTGTCGCTTTCCCAGTGATCTCCATTTGGACACTAATAGCAAACAAAATCTGCAGCCACCTGAAGAAGACATTTTGGCAGAAGTGCACTTTGGTCAGTCAGCTACAATTGCAAAGTGTTGGTTTTGTACGCACACTGCGCTGTCAAACATACCAAGCAATAACTTTGCTCAGCTAACAACAGACACCACGTCCCTCACTGCGCGTGACTTTGTAAGTTTAACATGATATAGCTTCAAAATCTGCTTTTCATATTATACAGGGCCATGTATATTTTTTCCCCAGCATAAATTTTTGTGATGCTTTTGGAGACGGTTATGACTTTTAAACAACGATGTTTAGCTTTTAGAAGTCACCAAAACGTTTGGGAGCAAAACCAACCATGCGGATAACATCACACAATAATTTTCAAGTGTGAGTTCTGAGGGGTTTAGTAAATTCCTG